AGTCAAAATAATTTTGAAAAAAAGTCAAGGTCAAAAGCCTCACACTACCTAATATCAAGATTTACTACCATCCTGCACCAAAAAAAACCATCTAGTATTGAGGAAAGAATGAACAATAAATAAGTAGTGGTTGAAGGAATAAATAGCCTAAGGCTCCACTAGCATAGTGGAGCCCAAATTTCCAGGAAAGACACAAATACTGAAGTCAGTGATGATTCTGAAAGAAAGAACACAAATAACAGCAGAAATAAATAAAATTTATTTATTGAAAAGGTAGAATTTTTTCCAACTACAGAGTATTTATGCTTATGGGCTATACAAAAGCAAAGAATAGGAGAACCAATAATTTTGATTTTGCATATAATCAGAAGCGAATCTTCTGTGTGTAGGTAACATGATGGGAGTATTTATATAGTCTCAGTAACTAACAGGTTTTTTTGAAGTACACCAAGATGATATCCAATCCTTATATGGATCCAGAGGTGATAAAATGGGGCATCGTTTGAGGGGAAGTATTAATCTTAAAATATTATTTTAGATGTTCTAAGATGACGTTCTAGCAGCAAGGGGAAGACATCTACTATAGCAAAATGGTCAGTAGGTACAGCAGCCATAGCCATAGGCAGCCCCATATCCGCAGCCATATATGGAACAGTAGTCACAGCTATAGCCACAGCCATATCCAGAGCCCCCACAGGAATTCCCACAGTTGTTGCAATACTTGGTGACAGAAGGTGAGGTTTCAGTTGAGGTATAGAAGGATTCTTCTGAAATTTGAATGTTACTCTCTCCCCTGGAACCTTTGCATCCTGACAGGAAGAGTCAGGACATACCAGCAATTTTGTGATTCATGCAAAAAATATTTATACCTAGTATGTGCAAATCACCCATTCAGTTGACCTGGTCTTCTCATATCTATAGCATCTGCCTTAAATGAACACATTATTATAGGTTCTCCAGTTTTACTGGGGAACAATGTTTGTTTTTTTGTCACCCAAGCATTACCTTGAGCCAATTACAAATCTAGGAGGAAAGTTTCTATCCACTAGCAGTCAATCATCTGAACAAATGATCCCAAAGATGTATTTTATACAGCAAGGCTCTGTGGAGGATTGGGCAGTTTACGTTTGAGAATGCAACTATTAAAATGAGCTTGATGAGTTAATTTGACTAGCTTGCTAATTATAATTTTTATAGGTGACTTCTGCCCTATATAGAAACTCCTCAATATTTCATGTTATAGAGTTCCTATGAATCCAAATACCCATGGATATGATATTCTGATGCTATATTCACTCCTAGAGCCATTCCTTCAATAGATTTTTATCAACCCTAGGGGTTCATTTAGTTCATTAAACAGCTGTTGAATGTTTTATAAATTATAAATTCCTTCAGATATTTTTATCTATTTGATCCCAGTGAAAATATGAAAGAGGTAGGTAACTTATGATAGAGAAATTGAGGTACAAAGAGAGGTTAAGAAACATTATTAATAATACTAAAGTCATGCAGCTTATACATTACCAAGTTCAAGTATTCATTCTTCTTTGTTATGCCACATAAAATCTCCCTTTCTGATCATTGAGTGCTCAAGCACTTGCTGTAACAGGAATCTCATTAGTTCTTAGGGTGATCCATTTGACTTTGTAATTACTCTGTGATAAAATCCCCACATGCTTTAGAATCTCTCATTATTCCCAATGTCACCTGGGGTCCTAGATGAAATCTACTTAAATAGTTTGTTCCCAGGCCTCTCGCATCAAGTGGGCTAATCGTTACTCTCACCCTTTCATTTTCTCTGCAGAATCGTCTATCCTCAAAACCAGTTGGTATGACTGGCTTCCTAATCTCTGCCGATGTGCAGATATGTAATCCTGCTTATCCAAAGCAACCACACCTCTTGCCAGCTAATTTAGACAACAGAAGAGGAAGTCTGTTGTAATACTTTTCTATAAGAACATAACAAATTATCACAAAAATAGTGGCTTAAAACAACACTCATTTATTTATTATCTCAGTCTTCATTCATGGATCAGAAGTCTAAGCTCAGTCTAGCTGGTATCTCTGTTCAAGGTCTCACAGTACTGCAATCAAGCTGTCAGCCAGGCCATCTGCAAAATCTCTTTGCCATATGGTTTAGAGTTGCCACATTTAGTTAAGGATGGCCCTAATATTGCATGAAATGTACTTATACTAAAAAGTTATCTGTTTTTTATCTGAAATTCAAATTCTTCCATCTGTGTTTTTATCTACCAACCCCAAACATAACATAATCACAGAAATGATACCCCATCATCGTTCCAAAGGTGAAAGACAAGTTACAGGTCATCCCCACACTCAAGGGGAGGGAATCATACAGGGTGTAGGTTATTGGGGGCTGTCTTAGAATTCTGCCTACCCACACCTGTGAATTTATTCCTTTGGCTCAATAAGTCATGACATGTCCTCCAGGAGAGATGATGGCTATAGCAATATGGTTTCAGTATACAGACATTTTAAAAAAGCATTGCCTCTTTTCCCCCTGTCTGGAAGGCTATTTCTTTTTTTGTATGATTGAACAATTCCTAGTCATACTTCATATTTTTGCTAGAAATTTTCCTTTTTTTCAGAAAGATTCCTGACTCTTCTCTCTGCTTAATCTTAGTCCTGGTCCTTCTTCTGAGTTCTTCTCTGTACTTCCCAAACACTCCTGTGTATAACTGTTTTATAGCAATATTCTATATTCTGTTGTTTGTAGCCTGTTGTTGTTCATGCCTTTCCCACACTTTTAGAAAGAAGGGGTGAAATATTTCAGTTCTCTGTTCATAGCACATAATGAAGTGTGCTCTATTAGGAGCTCAATAAATCTTTGCTAAGTGAGACTACTCATTTATCTAATTCACAAGTAGTGGTTTTACGTCTTCAAGAATGACAATCTATCTATCTCTCTATCCCCCTTTGTTCTTCCTCTCCTTGAAACTGTAATTTCTTTCCAAATTCAAGGGAATCTAGGACACTGAATTTATCTGACCACAAGGTAGTTAAATCTTGACTCTAGGCCTGACAGTCTTTCTATATCCTGAATGATGATTGGATTTCTACAAACATGTTATTGCTAGCCTCTCCTCCAGCTACAGAAATATAAGAGGTTCTGTTCTGTATTTTCCTGGTATCAGTATTACAATTTTCAGAATCAAGCTTCAAAGTTCAAATTCAATTCTAATCTATAGTGTCCTAGATTTAGGGGACAAAAATTGGTATGTAAGATTGGGTAATTCCATTTCTCCCCCTAAGGGAATTAACTTCCCCCTAAAATAACTCACCCAGTGAGTAAGCCCACCTGGGTTTAAAAACATCCAATAATAGAGAACCTGATGGAGAATTCATTCTCGTTTCAGATGGTGTCACATATTAAAAAGAGCTCTTGTGTTCAGGAATTTGTGTGTCATGAGTATGCATTCACTTCAACCTAATTAGTGTCTCTACAAAGATATAGGACACATCTGTAATACTAGTCTTGTTAATTTTGCAACACCAGTCTTTAAGATATATAGCTGTATATCCCATCCTAAATTCCCCATAATGCTAAGTGCTAAGAAGAAATATGCTTTTTAGATATCGTCTTCTCTAGGTTTTTCTCTCTTCTCTTTCACTGTTGTCTAAGATCTTACAGGTTCTACCATCACCAAGTCCCTGATGTTCACCTGTTCTTTTTCATCATCTATGCCAACACCCAAATGCAGGCCCATCTAACCAGTCTCCAAGTCATATATACCTAACTTTTAAACCTTCTGTCTCTTCCCTTATAACTCATTTTTTGCACCATTAGCATTTTCCCAAAGCAAATTTTTCTGTGATGTTCTGTGTATGTGTGCGTGTAGATGAGTGCATGAATGCAGATTAATATGGAAAGAAAGAAATGGATAGACTCAGAGTTGTGAAATGCAAATGCTTAAGAACAAATCCTTAACCAAGCTTGGTGGTTCATGCCTGTAATCCCAACACTTTGAAAGACCGAGGCAGGAAGATCGCTTGAGGTCACAAGTTCAAGACCAGTCTGGACAACATAGCTAGACCTTGTCTCCACAAAAATTAAAAAATTAGCAGAGCAAGTTGGCCTGCACCTGTAGTCCCAGCTACTTGGGTGGCTGAGGCAATAGGATCACTTGAGCCCAGGAGTTTGAGGTTGCAGCGAGCTATGATAATGTCACTGTATTCTGGCCTAGGTGACAGAGTGAGATCTGCCTCTAAAAAAATAAAATGAGATAAAGAGCAAACCCTTAAGTAAAATGAATTTAAAACATGAGATTCAGCCAATAAGGAACCATTTTCTCAGGGATGATAGTCAAGATATGTAACGTCCAGTATGTCATGGGCAATGACCAATCAGAGTGGAAGCCAGACATACGCAATGGGAATAAGCAACTGAGTATTATCCCTCCCAACCTCTAAGGAAGTTATAGAAATATTAAGACAAAAAAATAAGTCAATAGCATGTCTGAAACAAAAAATTACAAAAACTTGTTAGGACCAATGAAACATGTTTATTTGGAAACAGTCACAATTTAGAAACACAGAAGAAGATCATGGGTTTACACTTGGACTCCGAGCAAAATGAGGTCTTCTGTCTTCCAGAAACATCATGGGGTAACTCAGGCCCCCACAATAGCAAGCAGGTGTCCAAAAAGGCAACTAGTTTCTGCAGGCTCTGAGTACTTATCCAGTGGAATCTGGTGGGATTGTAAGACATTGAAACAGAAATAGCCTTGAAGTGGTCATTTTAGAAGAAAAGGTGCACTGCAGTTATGTTCTAGCAGCAAGAATAACATCTTCTATAGCAAAATGGCTGGTATCCATAGCAACCATAGCCATAGCCAGAGCCATAGCCACAGCCGTAGCCAGAGCCGCATCCGTAGCCATAGCCAGAGCCGTATCCACAGCCATAGCCTGAGCCATAGCCACAGCCGTAGCCTGAGCCATAGCCACAACCATAGCCTGAGCCGCATCCGCAGCCATAGCCAGAGCCGTATCCACAGCCATAGCCACAGCGGTAGCCTGAGCCATATCCGCAGCCATAACCACAGCTACCACATGAGTTTCTGTAGTAGTTGCAACACATGGTGTCTAGAGATGGGTGTTCAGTAGTTCAGTAGAGAAGCAGGTGGAGGATTCTGAAATTTGAATGTCTTCTCCTGCCCTGAGACCCTTATATACCACCAGAAATGGGCGGAGCACAGATTCTATGGGCTCATTACCACAGCAATTTTCATTTTTAAAAAGCCCATCATCATTCTAAGGACAACAAGTTATTCAGGTAATTATGTCCAGGATTTGGCCCTAGCCAGTCATGAGAATTGTAAGGAAACAGCTGTAACCTACACATTGAACAAGTATGTCACGTGGACTATAATCAAATCTAATCACATTTGTTACTTTGATTCTTACGAGAACAATGTAAAGTAGGAAGCTGTGTGTTTATTATTACATTTTGCTGTTTTATTGATTAAGTTAAAGTGTATAAGTTTAAGGTATATTAATACAATGTGATTATTTGATATATATGTATAGCGTGAAGTTATTCCCACAATCAAGTTAGTCAATACATCTATCACTTTATCTAATTAGTATTTTTGTGTTTTTTTTATTTTGTGATGAGAACAACTAAGATCTACTCTCTTAGCAAATTTCAAGTGTACAATACAGTATTTTTAACTATAGTTATCTTATTGTATATTAGATCTTCAGAACTTATTCGTCTTACAATTGAAGGCTTATAGGCTTTGACCAACATCTTCCCATTTCTCCTTCCCTGCAGCCCCTGGCAACCATCATTCCACTCTCTGTTTCTATGACTTCTTTAGAGTCCACATATAAGATCATACAGTATTTGCCTTTCTCTGTCTGACTTATTTCATTTATCAAAACGCTCTCCATTGTTATCCATGTTGCTGTAAATGGCAGGATTTCTTTCTTTTAATGGCTGAATAATATTTCATTTTATATCTATTTCTTTGTTCATTCATCCATCAACGGACACGTAGGTTGTTTCCATGTCTTGGCTATTGAGAACAGTGCTGCAATGAGCATGGGAGTGCACACATCTATTTGAACTACTGGTTTTGCTTTCTTCAGATACAAATGCAGAAGTAGGATTGCTAAATCATGTAGAATTTCTCATTTTAATTTTGAAGAAAGCTTTATATTGTTTTCCATATGGCTGTATGAATTTAGATTCCCACCAGCAGTGCACAAGTGTTCCTTTTTCCACACCCTCACCAACACTTGTTATCTCATCTTTTTGATAATAACTATCATAACAGGTGTGAGGTGATATCTCATTGTCGTTTTGATTTTCATTTCCATGATGATTAGTGATGTTAAGCACCTTTTCAGGAACCTGCAGTTTTTGTTTTTATACACATATCACTGGTGACAAAACAAAGACCAGGGGTAAAGTCACTTGCCCAAGGACTCTCAGCTGTTTAGTGATAGAGTCAAATTGGTTTAACACCTATTATAACATCAAAGCTAAAGCAGGACCCATAAATTATTTTTTCCTTCAGTTTTTCAAATGTAAAATACTTAGTGCATTTAGTAAAATTGACAATATTTTGCAACCTCCACCTTAGACTTCTATCAACTGGGTTTTCTTCCTTCGTGATCTGCCATCCTAGCTAAAACACCCTGTAAACACTAGGCAGACAACTCACCTCTCACACTTGCTTCATAGCTCTCCTTTTGCACCACATAGCATGTGATAGCCACTCTTCTCATACTTCAACATTCTCTATCTATTGTGAGATTACAATCTTCTTAATACTCTGCAAGTTTATTTGAGAAGCTTCATCATTTGAGTAGAAATGATGATAACTTTTCTAGACATTTTCAATTTTAATCAATACAGGTAAAAATCACCATAGATCAGAAACTTCCATGTGAAAATAAAAACCTTAGATTCTACATTTGACTTCTAATTATGATTGCCCAGTGTTATAACTCTTTCCACTAAAATTCAGTATTTAATATTGGTTTCATTTCTCCAAACTCCATGGCCTTTTCCACATTAACATGTCACATGCTTTCTTCTCAAAGCAGTTTTAGCATGACAATATTTACTCGTATGGTTCTGTTGATCATTTCTCTAGATAGTGACTGGACAGCACAATTTGATTTTACAAGAATTTTTGAAGATCAACATCATTCAAGCCCTATTCTAGGGCATGGAAACTATTCAGAGAGAATAAATTTCCATTTCCATTGAACTAGCCCCTGTCCTTTTATCGTATGATACATAAAAAATTAGCATAGCTGCAACCTTTGCATTTCCTCATCTATTCACTCTTCGATTTACTGCAATCACTATTTACTATTATCACATTCCTTCTTCCCCCCACAAAAATCCTTTTCAATAAAGACTCCATATCTTCTGCCAAGTCCAATGGAAACTTCTCAAGTAATTCACACAACTTGGTGACAAAGTAAAAAGTAGGACCAAATCATCAGAAAATAAGCTACTCCTCTAAAGCCCACTAATTTGTTACTAAAAATACAGTGAGAAATATGTCAACTTACTTGGTATCACAACATATATTAGAGCTCATAACTATGCAATACATACCTGACAGATATACAAAACATCTCACTTAGGAATGTGCCTATAAAGTTGATGTGAAAAAAATGAGATTATTATTAAAACT